ATGTGTATTGCTCTGTGTATTTTGCTGTTTGCGTTATATCCATTTTCTTTATATTTCTTTCCATTAGGCAAATTGAATCTCTATATGTACTTGTCAGAACTATATGTCCTTGACTAGTTTGCTGTAAAAGTATATCTAAAAACAAAACCTTATTTTAATACTGTATACAGTTGGAATACTCTGTCAAAACCTGTCAGTTGTGGGTTTTTTTGGGGTCTGTTAAGGAGACACAGGAGGAAACGAAAGGACATCGCTCCTATGTGCTCTTTGGATCAGATGTCCCCATTGGAGAATTGCCCCTGTAATCCTGTTCTGGTTACAACTATAATTTTTTGCTTTTCTATTACTTTCTCTCCCTGTGACAATAGTCACCAGGACGAGTAAAAATACTGCATCTCCCCATTGGGGACACAGATAAATACAAATTTGATAGAAATGTAAACTATTAACCTACTGTATCCAAAATTGAAACTTTGTCCTCCCATTAAAAAATGTTCGCAATGTTTTCTCTTACTCCCCCTGCAATGTCCCACAAATACCTGTTAAGCCTGTCAGTGAAGTCCATCCAATGCCGCTTCCTCCTAAGTGGTGGCAACAATTCTGCACTTCTCCTGAATTCAGAGCAGAGTTGTCACTCTCACCAAGGCTGTGCCTGTTTGCACTATAGTGGGGTGAGGAGATGTTGTAGGAGCATGGCTATCAGTATTGTCACCGCTGTTTCACAGGCCTGTAGCTTGTCAATCAGCATCTGGCCACACCTAGTCCTGGTCCTGTCCCTTGCTTTCTGGGCTGACATCACTACCTCTGTTGCTGAAACTCTCTCACTGTGAGCTGCAAAAACAAAGAAAGATGTGGCTCAGTCAGGGAAGGTAAAGGAATTTTGCATCACATAGTAACTGGATTTGGAAATTGTTTAGACTGTCATGCATGAGCCTTTAGTTGTCCTTTAAATATTCTTTAATTGTTCATCGCCATGATTGGTCTGACTCATTTGCCAGTCGCAGTTAACTCAGAAGATAGTTGTGTTACAGTGGGCATTCTGCTTCCAGTGTAGACCTCCTTTTGAATGATCACTATAGAAGAATCAGTTGGACAGGTTAGATTTGCTCAGTACATAAATGCAGATGAAGTTTATCCAAGTTTTTCTGTTAGTGATGAAAGCACATGATACCTGATGTCTTTCAATCATTGCCGCCTTATGGCTTAGGTGGACAACTGAAGTTGGTCTACTCATCAAATACTCATCTTATCACATATGCTTGTGTAGTATTATGATGACCACTTAGAGGCTTTTGTTTTGTCTTTTTTTTTTTTTTTTTAGGTAGACTATAGGCACAGCTATCTCCCGTTACATGAGAAACCTTCACATGTTCCTTGGAGCTGATGTAGTGTAATAGAACTGCCAATAATCAGGTTCAGGCTTTAAGCATTAATTTTGTGCAAATGCTTCAACACCTGTGATGTCAAGATGGTGTGAAAGCAGAATCGTCTAGGTCTATATATACACTCAACCCCATAGTTCGAGCCGACGTGTGACAATGAAACTGTCACACGTCAGGTCAATAAATCGGGAAGTGAGTGAACGCATACCGTCGCTCACTCACTTCTCGATCATGTCCCTGCAGAGAGCCGTGACTGTTAGTCACGGCTCCCCGCAGGGTTTTTCCGCCCTCCCCTATCCGATCCTCCAGCGCTGACTGGCGGTGGGGGAGGGGGAGGGTACAGCTGGCTCTGCCTCCATATAGGCAGAGCCAGCTGTCACTCACGCAGGTGGATGGATCTCGACAGTAATGTCAGGATCCGTCCCGGCTGCGGCGGTCTCAGTATACGGCGAGCTGTAGCTCACAATATACTGAGCTTTGGGTCACGGTGAGGACGCTAGTTTATGTCCTCTCGTGACCCTAAGGAGAACTATGGGGAAAAACACTTACCCCATAGTTCTCTTTTAATTGTGTAAAAAAGAATCCCGGAGAAGAGGCTATTGAAACAGTTACCAATACAGAATCTAAAAATGCTCCTTTTTGCAGCAAAGCCACCCACAAAAAGCAATTGTCCATTCAGCAGCTGCTGGCATGGGACAGGCTTTTGTACCCAGGTTTTACAATGGACATTTTTTGGGGCGATTTAAGCCATGTTAAAGTGGCCTGTCAACTGGTATTATAGTATGTTATTTTAGCATGTCATGAGGCAAATCTCTGCTTAGCCCATAAAGGGCAAACCAGCAGCATTGCTTTAGTTCCCCATATACTCTCATAATATATTTTTACTTTTCTTCTCTCCCACTTCACTCGGAAATACCCGGTACACTTCAGGGTATGAGGGAGCTGTGACTCAATCTATGCAACAATGCTGCTCTAACTGGTACTGCCACATAAGATATTTATAGCCTTGTGTAGACTATAACTACTGTAATTTGTAGGTTACACAGGACTTTCCTTCAATTCTGATAGTTAAATAAA